GAAGCTACATCCTCAGTTCCATGCCACTTGTTGAACAGATAAAGAAGCAGGTCACCTGGACTCAATCTCTCTTTCTGACACCTTACCTTCGAGAACGAACATGGTAGCTGTCTTCCCTCCGGCGCCGCCGTGTCCGGTCACTACTACTTGACCAGGAGCGACTTCTTCGTCGCTTATGTTTCCGGCTCCGATAGTGTTCATGATAACTCCCCCGGCTACCTCGCTCTGAGGAATGGTACCTTCGGGGATGAGGCATCTGGAAGAGAAGGAAAAGCAGAATGGTAGAGAACATTCTGGGTTTGCAGAAGTATTTTCCAGGACCAGCTGCTCAAAGATACAAAGCTGTGTCAAGTCTTTTACACACAAACTTCTCATTCTCTGTGTTTATAATTTATAGTCACCTACTAATTTTGGCTGAAAACTCCAAAGTCCCTAATTTAATTGCTCTACTTGATTTTTCTCAAACATGACTCCAAAACGACCTTCAGGTCTGAGCCACAATTCATTACAGGCAACAAGCACATGGCTGATGAACACTGCCAGTTTATCCCTATGTATGTAAGACACACAGAGGTGCCTCACAAGTAAACAGAATAAAGCTTTAGTTCACAGTTATGTATTAGTCATTAACAGTGTATCTTAGCCAGGTGTGGTAGCACATACCTTTACATACCTTTAATCCCAGCACTCAGGAGGCAGAGACAGGTGGATCTCTGCAAGTTCAAGGCCAGCCTGGTCTACAGGGAGACCCTGTCTCAAAAAGACCAAAGGAAAAAAAAAAGTGTATCTTATCTCCCCCTAACTAGACTATAAGTGCCTCAAGGGCAGGAATCCAGTTTGAACAGGATTCTACATATAGCTTGGAAATAACTACTACCAGGGTCAGGGTCTGGCCGCTTGAAAATAACTCTCAAATCTCTGGTCAAGTACCTGAGGTTTTAACACAACATCACAAAGTAGTTTTCTATTTACATATCCCCTACTGTTATTACACTTAGGAAGTAGGAAAAAACTGGTTGCTTTGTTTTTCTGAAAGTGTGTCAAACAGGCCTCAAACTCAGTATGTAGCAAAGAACAGCCTTGACCTTCAGATCCTCCTACCTCCATCTCCTAAGTGATCAGATTACAGACATGCATCATCACACTTCTTTTTATTTAATGCTGTGGATCAAACCCAGGGCTTCATGCATGCTAGGCAAGCATCCTATCAATAGAACTACATGCCTAGTCCAATAATCAGTTTTTAATTAATATCAGTACTACCTGGCTGACAGCTAGACCACCTTTCAATTAATGAAACTGGACCAGTAAAGTTAAATTCTTTTTTGATGAAAGAAAAAAAAAAAAAACCAAAGTGAAATTACTGTCATAATTCAGGAACAGAACAGGACAGACTGAAAAAGGCAAAGCTCAGGGACAGTCTTAGGGGACTGATGGTTCAGATAGGCACAAGGTTTACTCCAACATCTGGCTGCCACTCTGGACCACTTCTTCCCAACCTCCTTAAATTCAAGAAGGTGAGATATGATGCACTGCTTAGAGTGGCTGGCAGGAAACCATGAGGATGAAAGCAGGAGATTCTCCTAGCTAGCCCATCCTTGATTAACTTAGCCACACAAATGCTATCTCTAGACACGTACATTCTGCCACCAACGTGACTAAAGTCTTTCCCTGAAAAGTATTTCTAGCCTACCTTTCTCAACTTCTAAACCTTGTTTCCCCTTTTCTTATTCAGAAAATCCAGAATAATTTGCCAGAGTCAAACTCTTCCTGTGTTCTTAAAAGGACGCCTCCTGGGTTCGGATTAGACCCTCGGTCCAACTTTTACAGTTTGCTTTTTTGCATCTCTGGAACCACTCCTGTCCCTACCCCATCACTACTGCTTCTAAGGCTCCTCCCAAGTTTCCTAATGGTCTGGCCGGGCACACAGAGACAGGCCGACCTCCCTCCCTCCCTCTTGACTCTCTGCTGCTTCGCAGGGCCCCAGGACTCGTCTCCCAATTTCGCCCCCATCCCTTGCCAGGATCTATTCCTATTGCTGCCCGTCTGGCGGTAGCCATCTTTCCTCGCAGCCCAGTGGTCCGCCAGCCCGCGCGCTCACCGTTCTGGCGGCGAGGCCCGTGCGCTTGTCCCACAGGAAGTCCGTGATGGCGGCAGCACTGCGGCCGGAGTCCCGGCACCCCCGCGGCAACCAAGTGCGACTCCACCCCCCAACCCCGGACCCCGGGCCCTCCCGCCCCGTTCCCGGGCTCCGTCCCCGCCCCCAGGATCCGCTCGGCGCCACTCGCACCGCCCCCGCCCGGGGCCCGATCCCAGCTAGGTCTCCGGGTCTGGCCTCTCCGTTCCGCCGCCGCCGCCGTGAGCGAGCCCGTACGCACGCACTCACGTCTTGCGTCACTTCCCAGTTTCTCCTCGGCCCCGCCTCCCGGACGCCGCGTGCTCAGAAGCTCGCCTGCATCTGCCAGTCAGACTGCGCGAGGCGCTGGGGGCACCGGAGTTTGTCTGCTCTTGCTGGGTGCTACCCGCCGCCTCTCGGCTTTCTCCTTCCCCCATCCCTCTCTCCCTTTACAAGGAGACCTCGGTGGGTTAGTTTTAAAGGAAAGGGTTGTCAAGCATACCCTGAAAAGAAATCCTCCAGCCTAACGCCAGGAAAGAAATGCTCCCACTTTTTGTCCTGAACAAGTTATGCACATGTGGGGGAAGGTACCTGGCCAACAAGGAAGGAGAGAATCAGGTGCCAGAAAGGGGAACCACTTTAGAATGGATTCTTATACGTGTTTTTAAATATTTATTATTTTTATGTGTATGAGTGTATCGCCTGCGTGTATGTGAGTGCACCCGTGTCGTGCAATGCCATGGAGATCAGAAGAGGGTTTACGGATTCCCCTGGAACTGGAGTTAAAGACGGTTCGTAGCCGCCATGTGGGTTCTGGGACTCGAACCTGAGTCCTCTGCAAGAGCAGTCATTGCTCTTAACCGCTGAGCCATCTTTCCAGTCCCTCTCCCCCTTTTATTTTATTTTATTTATTTTGTTTTTAGACAGGGCCTCCCAGTAGGCCCAGCTGGCCTAGATCCAGAGTTCAGTTTCCAGCAGCCATGCCAGTCAGCTAACAACCACTTGTATTCCCTGCATATATGTAAGTGTACCTGTGTCTTGCATTGCCTTCGGAGGCCAGAAGAGAGAACCAAATTCCCTGGAACTGGAGTTAGGGTTGGTTATTAGTCACCATGGGGGTGCTGGGAACTGAACCTGGGACCTCTGCAGGAGTAGCCAGTAGAGATGAGGCTGGAGAGATGGCTCAGCGGTTAAGAGCACTAACTGCTCTTGTAGAGGATCCGGGTTCTATTCCCAGCACACATGGCGGCTACTAACCATCCTTAACTCCAGTTCCAGGGAAATCAGAAGCCCTCTTCTGACCTCCACAGCATTGCACGACACGGGTGCACTCACATACATGCAAGCAATACACTCATACACATAAAATAATAAGATATTTTTAAAAAGTCAGTAGAGAGCCGGACTTGATGATGCACGCCTTTTAATCCCAGCACTCAGGAGGCAGAGGCAGGCGGATTTCTGTGAGTTTATTTTGATATATCACAGTGAAAGATTTATCGTCCTCTTTTTTTTTTTTTTTTTTTTTTTTTTTTAAAAAAAAAAAAAAAAAAAAAAAAAAAAGAGTAGTCAGTAGTTAGTAGATGTTTCTGAGCCATCTCTATAGCCCTGAAAGGCTTTTTTTTTAGGTCTCCCAGAAGAGGTGTGATTTGAACCAGTTGTTGGAAAGTAAATTGGAAGAAAATAACAGGCAGGGAAAATAACAGGCATTTTATCAACTGCTGTTCTGGCTTTCAAGACAAGGACTGTTAGATGAGAAATTATTGAAACTCAATCCAAATTTTCAGTGCTTAGTATGTCATGCTAAAGATCTTAAATCTATTCCTAAAATGGGAAACTTTGAAGGACTTTAAGCAAGTGATTCAGTTACGTGTGGATTTTATAAAGTTCACTGGATGACTGTAAAAAAATAAACTGGGCTGGGAGAACTTGAAGACTCCCTAGCTTCTGAAGTCAGACATGGTGGCACAACTTGCAGTTCAAGTGCTTGAAAGGTAGGAGAATCAGGAGTTCCAGACCAACCTGAGCTATAAGCATGTGTCCAAATGAAACCTAAAAAGGCTTCTGAAATAATTTAGATGGAAAATGCTGAGCAGTAAGAAATGGAGACCAAAAAGTTGAGCTATTTAGGGACTTACAGCATTTAATGTCATGTAGCACTGTAGTTCTGTAGTTCTGTTCTTGAAGCCTATGAGTCATTGACTTAATGGCTAAGACTTTTGTATTCATTTAAACATTTATTTATTTTTATTTTATGTGTGTGAGTGTTTTGCCTGCGTGTATGTAAGTGCACTCGTGTGTGCAATGCTGGTGGATCCAGAAGAGGGGCTCGGGTCCCCTTGTACTGGGGCTACAGACAGTTGTCAGTCCTCATGTGGGTGCTGGGAACCGAACCCAGGTCCTTTGTAAGAGCAGCCAGTGCTGTGAACCGCTGAGCTATCTCTCGAGCCCCTGTATTAATTTTTTTTTTTCAATCCTCAGCATGCTGAGGGGCATTTGGTAAGACTGGGTTAATGAATTAGGGGAAAACATGCTAGGAAAAGCAGCTAAGGGGAATCTCGGAAATTGGAATATGCCCAGGAGAATGAAAGCACGTACGTGTCTTGAAAGACCATGCCCGAGGATGGGGAAGACGAATTTCACACTTACATCCCTCATTTCTTCCACTAGCCCCAATCCCCCGCCCTCTGGAGTTCCACCGGCAGCACCACCCTTAGCGAGTTTTCCCGCCTCTAGAAGCTCAGCTCCTGGGCTGTGGGGTGGACGGAAGGCCAGCGGCCCCTTGAACCACGCCCTCTCCTGGGCTGGGGCAGTGCCGCCTCCTCTCTGATCCTCGGAGGGGAGGGTCTGCACTTGCTAGGCCACGCCCACTCGGAGGCCCAGGACGCCGCGGGGTCCGAGTCAGCCCCGCCCGGGGACTCCGCAGGGCCCTCGCCAGGGGGCGCCGGCCGCGCGTCTGGGGCCCCGCACACACCCCCTCCGCCCAGGGCGCGCGCGGTTCAGAGCTAAAACGCCTCCGCTAGCAGTCGGCGGAGCTGGGCCGCCTCCGGCTCCAGAGGGGTCAGCGCCCGCCATGGCCGCGAACCAGACTGGGAGGCCCAGCGATTGAGCCATGCAGGCGGAGCAGCGGTCAGCGGCGGGGGCTGGCGAAGGGGCGACCCTGGGGCTGCCGGCTGCGCCTCCCGCTGCGTCTGCTCCAGCGAGCGCGGCCTCCGGCGGAGCCTCGGAGGCTGCGCCCGAACCGAAGAGGAGGCAGCTCGGGAAGCTGCTGCAGCCCACGGTGAACAAGTTCTCTCTTCGGGTCTTCGGCAGCCACAAAGCGGTGGAAATAGAGCAAGAGCGGGTGAAGTCGGCGGGGGCCTGGATCATCCACCCCTACAGCGACTTCCGGTATTGGGGGCTCCGCAGGGAGGGCGAGGGGCGCCGATCCCACCCGTGCGCAGAGACCCGGGTGTCAGGCCGGCCCAGGGGTCCGCGGGCGGAGGAGGAAAGTCACCTCCCCCAGTCCAGCCTGGGGATTCCAAGCAGGTTTCCCCGGCCCTTTTCAGGCTGGGCGACAGAAGGGACAAGCAGACATCAGGGACTCTCCAGAGACTTGGTTTTCCCGTTGCAGGAACCCCGTGACCCATGGACCACAGAGACTATCCAAGTTTGGAAACCTTGCCTCTTCTTGATGGGAATCTGGGAAATTATATGCTAAAGCTGGGGGACCTGAGGGAGAAGCCGAGCTCTGCTATTTACCATCCTATTTACCCACCCCCAGCCCTTGCCCAGTTCAGCAGAACAGATAAGGACACTGAACTACTGGGAAAGATGGGGACACGGGAGGGGACCAAGGAAGGGGGCCAGTTTACAGCGTTGATTGCTGTCCCTGGTGCTGAAGGCCGGGTGCCGCGGGGCGGTGCGGGTAGTCAGAAAATTGAGGTAGAAAAGCAGGGGCTCGACCACTGCCCAGGTGACTCCCATAGAGAAGGGATAGAGAGCGGGGGTGGAGCCATTTCATAGTTCCAGGCAGGCTGTACGTCTACATCAAGGTCGCTAGAGGAGAAGAGCAGCCCTGTCCTTGGGAAAATGAAGGACAGCGTTTGGATGGGGTGGAGATGTATGCAAAGAGGATGAGGTGTGTGAATCTAGAGCCTGGAAACCCAGACAGTATCTTGCATTCTCAGATATCCACTCCTGAATGTTCCTCTTGTTCATTGTTCCTTCCACATCTTTATTATTTCATTCCCACCTTTTCTAGTCTCCAACAGCTCTCCCTTGCCTCCCCCAGTTCACCTTCAGACGTATCCCCAGAAGCCATATCCCTCTCATGGTTGTACTGCTTCTCCATTCTCTCTACTGCATCACCCGCCCCGGCTTGTGACCGCATGTGAGTCAGGCTGTGAAGATGCTGTGATGTTTAGGCAAACCTTTCCCTCCCCTCTTCCAATGCCTCACAGTGCAAGATTTCTCCTCAGCAGCAGTGGAGAGAGAGGAAGAGGGGCCAGGGGTTTGGTGTTAAGTGAAAGCACCATGTCTGAGGGGCTTCTTGGAGCCTGGACCTGGGAACCACCAAACTCCTTTCAGAGGCTGAAAGGATTGATTTTTGCAGTCAGAGTCAGAAGGGGCTGTTTTGGATTTATGCTAGGATTTGATGTGTCCTAGAACTAAAACCACCAGAATTAAAATCACGTGATGCAGTGATTTTTCTCTGAATGAAGGCTTCCCCTGGCTCTCTCCTGACCTCATGTCTCCATAGCTTCATCTAAAGCAGTGTAGGTTGTCCTTGCCTAAGCTCAGCCAGTGTCTCAGCAGGCACAGGGAGCCTAGAGAAGGGAAGGACTGGAGCTCTGGCCTTGCTACCACTCCAGCCTCACTACCTTGGAATCTCCCATGGAGTCCTCTGTGAGGATATCCTGTGGAGTCCTATGCACTGTCATTGGAGGTGCTGAGGTGCTGGGGCGGGGGATATCCCTGAAAGCCCAGTTTGGATGGGGGGCAATCCCTGTTTCCCCACAGAGAAACAGGAGTCTTGGTCCAGCAGTGCTGGAGAAGAGAAATTGAGTGAGGAAAGCTGAGAAGGGTGGGAGGTCCCAGACTAGAAATGAACAGGGAACTAGAGATGGAAGAAGCAGCACCCTTTTCAGAAATCTGGGCACAATGGGTGGGTGTGAGTCATAACACCAGCTAGTACTTGTACACTGGAGCATCCATTGTCTCAGTGGAAAATTTTCTAACAACTCAGTGAGATCAGCAGAGGGTACTCGGCTTTAAAAACTTTAAAAATATGGGGCTGGAAAGATGGCTAAGAGGTTAAAAGCACTGGCTGCTTTTACAGAGGACCCAGGTTTGATTCCCAGCACCCACATGGCAACAAACAACTGTCTGTGACTCCAGTTCCAGGAGATCTGACCCCTTCTTCTGATCTCCTCGGGCATTGCACGACATGCATGCATTTACACACATGCAGGCAATGCACTCATACACATAAAAATAACGGGGGGATAAATAAATATAATAAATAAAGCTGGGCTTGGTAGCGCACACCTTTAATCCCAGCACTTGAGAGGCAGAGGCAGGTGGATCTCTGTGAGTTCAAGGCCGGCCTGGTCTACATAGTGAGTTTCAGGATAGCTGGGGCTACAGGGAGCCCTGTCTCAAAAAGACCAAGAAAAAAATAAAATATTGTTTAAAAAGTTTAAGGGGCTAGAGAGATGGCTGAGCAGTTAAGAACACTGACTACTTCTGCAGAGGACCCGGTTTAATTCCCAGCACCCACATGGCAGCTAACAACCATCTGTAGCTCTGGTTCCAGGGGACTCAACACCCTCTTTTGACTTTGTGAACATTGTACGACATGGGTGCACTTTCATATGTATGAGTTTTCAGGCAATAACTCATACACATAAAATAAAAATAATAAATAAAATATTTAAAATAAAACTTTAAAAATAGTATCAGAGGAATAGTGTGGGGGTATATGGATGTATTTGTGTGTGTGTGCAGCAGTGCATACAGGTGTGTATCTGTATAGAGGTAGACACTGAGTGTTACCCTCAATTGTCCTCTTTTTTTTTTGAGTTCTAGGGCTCACCTGTCCCAACCCCTTCAGAGTTGGGGTTACTGCTGCACCTGCCTTTTCTTTTTTTTGAAACAGGGTCTCCTTGTAGCCCCAGCTGGCCTTGAGCTCACAGAGATCCACCTACCTCTGCCTACCAAGTGCTTAGACTACAGGTATGTGCCACCATGCCCGGCTGCACCTGCCTTTTTATGTGCATACTGGGGATCAAACTCAGGTCCTCATGCTTGCACAGCAGACATTTTGCTGACTGAACCATCTCCTCAACCCTGGCAATCTTTTTGTTTTGTTTAGGAGTGCTGGGGATTGAAGCTAAGGCCTCATGCATGCCTTTATCCTCAGAACCATCTTGGTGGCCCCTTTTTCATTTTGAGACAGGGCCTCACTAAATTGTTAGGCTGGCCTTGAGTTCACTCTAGTCCAAACAGACTTTGAACTCACTATGTAGACCAAGCTGGCCTTGAACTCACAGAGATCCGGCTGCCTTTGCTCCCAAGCGCTGGGATTAAAGGCATTCTCTCTCTCTCTCTCTCTCTCTCTCTCTCTCTCTCTCTCTCCACATGCATTCATCCATGCTTGCTTATGTGGGTTCCAAGCCAGCCTGCTCTGCTGCTCTACATAGTGAGTTCTAGGCCAGTTGGGGCTACAGAGAGATCCTGTCTCAAAAAGACAAAAAAAAATTTCAAATATTTATTTGTTTTGTTTTTTGAGATAGGGTCTCCCAAATTAAATCCTGCTATAAATATTCTGGAGTCCAAATTCCCTCCAAGTGTATATATACATCTGAGAAAAAAGTTGCAGGGAATGCAATTTTTTTTTTTTTGAGACAGGGTCTCTCTATAGCCCCAGCTATCTTGGAACTTGCTTTGTAGATCAGGCCAGCCTTGAATTCACAGAGATCTGCTTTCCTCTGCCTCCCAAATGCTGGGATTAAAGGTGTGTAGCACCACAAATGCAAATGTTTAATGGTGGTTCTAATTTTCACTCTCAATGGCTATAAGTGACCACTCTGCTATTTTGTATTCTTGCCTATTCTTGGCTGTATCAAGCTGTCTTCTGTCAATCTGGCAGCTGATGACATATGACATGGTCTTGCTCCCCATTCCACGCCCACCTTAGGTTTTACTGGGACCTGATCATGCTGCTGCTGATGGTGGGGAACCTCATAGTACTGCCTGTGGGCATCACCTTCTTCAAGGAGGAGAACTCCCCACCCTGGATCGTCTTCAATGTCCTCTCTGACACTTTCTTTCTGCTGGATCTGGTGCTCAATTTCCGAACTGGCATTGTGGTGGAGGAGGGTGCTGAGATCCTGCTGGCACCGAGGGCCATCCGCATACGTTACCTACGTACCTGGTTCTTGGTAGACCTCATCTCCTCCATCCCCGTGGATTACATCTTCCTAGTGGTGGAGTTGGAGCCACGGCTAGATGCTGAGGTCTACAAAACTGCACGGGCCCTACGCATCGTTCGCTTCACCAAGATCCTTAGCCTGCTGCGACTGCTCCGCCTCTCCCGCCTCATCCGCTACATACACCAGTGGGAGGAGGTGGGGTGGGGAGGTGGGCAGGGGGGTTAGCAGACTCCTTGAAAAGGTGCTATGGTGGAGGGTCCTGCTGACTTTGAGGGGTGAGGCAGATGGGTGATGTTTCCATGGGTGACTTCTTTGCAAAGTTGGTAGAGGGGAAGCAAGAACAGAGGAGCTTAGAGAATGAGACCTGGGGTGGAGGTGGTGGTGCAGGAGAGTGGAGCATAGCGGTTGGACAAACATTTGAGGGTATTTGATCTCTGAGTAGTTTGGGGTATGGAAAGGGGACTGGGATTGCTGTTTCAAAAGGAAGAAGAATTTAGAGGCTCAGTGTAGGCTCTGCAATCTCATTGCCTCTTGTAGAAAATTACAGTGTTAAATATACCGACTTTGTCTATATATTTATGTATAATATGTTGTAGGGGTTAAAGAAGTTAATTCATGCGAAGCACTTACAAAGGTATCTACACATAGCTCTGTAGTTCCCAGTAATTAGCTGGTCTTGTTTTGCCTTGGTTTTGGCTTCATTTGTTTGTTTTGGCTTTGTTTTTTTAAAAAATATTTTATTTATTATTTTTATTTTATGTGTATGCATGTATTGCCTACATGTAGGTAAGTGCACCTGTGTCTTGCAATGCCCAAGGAGGACAGAAGAGGCTGCTGGATCCCCTGGAACTGGAGTTATCGACAGTAGTTAGCTGCTGTTTGGGTGCTGGGATTTGAACCTGTCTTCTGCAAGAACGGCCAGTGTTCTTAACTGTTGAGCATCTCTTCAGCCCGCAGTTTTATAACTTTAAAATGTAAAAGGAATTAATTTTTTTTGAGACAGGGTCTCACTGTAGCCCCCGCTGGCTTGGAATGCACTATGTAGACCAGGCTGGCCTTGAACTCACAGAGATCCACCTGCCTCTGCCTCCAGAGTGCTGGGATCAAAGGCTCTTCTCCCCAGCTTCCCCTGCAATCTCCCTGCCTTACTGGGATTGAACTTGTGGCCTCACATATGCTAGACAAGTGCTTTGCCACTGAGTCATAGCCTCAGCGCTTTCTTTACTATTTTATTTATTTATTTATTTATTTTTATTTTTTATTTTTTTGAAACAGCGTCTTCCTATAGCCCCAAATGACCTGGAACTCACTAGATAGACCAGGCTGACCTTGATCTCACAGAGATCCACCTGCCTCTGCCTCTCTTATTTTTATTTTGAGGTAGGGTTTCACTAAGTTGCCTAGGCTGGCCTTGAACTTTTGATCCTCCTGTCTCAAATTCCCAGGTAGCTGGGATTACAGACCTTTGCCACCAGACTAATAGCTACATTTAAAAAAAAAATTCAGGGAGGCTAGGGCAAGGGAGAAGTTCAAGAAGGGTTTACAAGGCTGGGAGTGGAGGAGGACCAGCAGGGAGGGGTTCTTGTCCACAGCAGCCCCTCCTCGGACTCCTCAGATCTTTCACATGACCTATGACCTGGCCAGCGCTGTGGTTCGCATCTTCAACCTCATTGGGATGATGTTGCTGCTCTGTCACTGGGATGGCTGTCTGCAGTTCCTGGTCCCTATGCTGCAGGACTTCCCTCCCGACTGCTGGGTCTCCATGAACCGCATGGTGGTGAGAAGTCCCTACAGCTCTGCCATTCCTGGGTCTTTTAAGGGCTCTTCTGCCTGAGCAACAGGGATGGCCACAGGGAGCAAGAGGTGGGAGATGATCCAGAAAGAAAGTGGAAGTGGCCTGGAGGGAGGAGTAGGAAAGACCTAGAGGAAGTACTTGTCTATTGGAAGGAGCAGACAAAGAAGGAAACCTAGGCAGAAGCTGAGGTCCCTAAGCACAAAAGAAGCCCTGTTTGCTTCAGGGACTCCACACACCAAACAAGTAACTGCTGAGAGGAAGGTCTGAAATAGAAGGGTAGGCAGAAGAAAGAACAAGAAAGAAAAGGGGGACGGTGGAGAGTGAGGCTCTAAGGGACCCATGCCCAGCTCTGCAATGTACTTTGCCCCCTAGAACCACTCGTGGGGCCGCCAGTATTCCCATGCCCTGTTCAAGGCCATGAGTCATATGCTGTGCATTGGCTATGGGCAGCAGGCACCCGTAGGCATGCCAGACGTCTGGCTCACTATGCTCAGCATGATCGTGGGTGCCACATGTTATGCCATGTTCATCGGTCATGCCACTGCCCTCATCCAGTCTCTGGACTCTTCAAGACGACAGTACCAGGAGAAGGTCAGCAGGGACAAGAGAGGGAAGGGGTGGGGCATGGAGAAGTGCTGGAGATTGGGTCTGATGGACCTCTGTTCCTTCCTCCTGTGTGAAACATTTCTGTGTTTGGCTCTATGTGTCTGTCCTTGGACTCCTCCTCTGCCCATATTTGGGTTTCCTCGTGACTTCTATGTGTCTGTCCTCCTTGTATCCATTATCCATGTCTTCTGTGGCCCTGTGTATACATGTCTGGCTCCATGTTTCACACCTCTGCGTCCAACCTGTGTCTGTGAACTTCTACACACCCCCATTGTTCTGGCCCATATTTCTGTGTCCTCTTCCAACTGGCAACGGGTTCGTTCTCCAGTACAAGCAGGTGGAGCAGTACATGTCCTTCCACAAACTGCCAGCTGACACACGGCAGCGTATCCATGAATACTACGAGCACCGCTACCAGGGCAAGATGTTTGATGAGGAGAGCATCCTGGGAGAACTGAGCGAGCCACTTCGGGAGGTGGGCCCTGGCTGGATCTTGAGGGGGCTCTTCAAGGATCTGGGCTTCTGGAGGTGCTGCCTGTGTTAAGAGGGGTTGGTTATCAGGTGCTCCTATATGGAATAAGGCCTATAGACAGCCTCAAGTATTTGGGGGATGCGGCTTTCTATGGCAGGTCTATATGAAGAGGGACTGTAGAGATGGTGGGAAGGCTTTAAAGGTAGGTGCTCAGGGAGGTCCCTATGCCCACTGTAGCATCCCCATCCTTTGACAGATCTTGACAGCATCGATGGGGTTTCTGGAGACAGATGAACTTGGTGGGGGCACTTCTAGACAGGAGGGACAGCCTGTCTGATAAGCCCCTCCTATGCCCAGGAGATCATTAACTTTACCTGCCGGGGCCTGGTGGCCCACATGCCACTCTTTGCCCATGCTGACCCCAGCTTCGTCACCGCAGTACTCACCAAGCTACGTTTTGAGGTCTTTCAACCAGGGGACCTGGTGGTGCGTGAGGGCTCTGTCGGCAGGAAGATGTACTTCATCCAGCACGGGCTGCTCAGTGTGCTGGCACGTGGCGCTCGGGACACCCGCCTCACTGACGGATCCTACTTTGGGGGTCAGCAGACCTCAGGGAAGGTGGGGGGTCATGAGCATTGGATGGGGGGTAATTCTAACCCCTCCCCAGACCTTCTTAGTCTCGAGAAGCTCTGTGTTTTTTTCCCAAAGTTTCTTAGGAGATTGTAGTCAGGTTGCAAACTACAGTGCCAGTGGCTCTTTAAGATTATTAACTGTTGGCACAATACTTTAGTCCCAGCACTCAGGAGGCAGAGGTAGGCAGACCTTTGTCTACCAGAGATCCAGATCAGGGCCAGCCTGGTTTACATAATGAGTTCAGGCTAGTTTGGGCTATTGGGAGACCCAGTCTCAACAAAATAAAACAAACAAAACACAAACAAAAAGAATTATCAACTGATGAAATGCAACGGTTCTATAAATTTGAGGGAAAGATGGGAATGAAGCAGAGCTGTCCCGGGTGCTGCCCTAGTGGCATGATCCCAGAGCCTGGCCTGTGGCTATTGGAGAGAGTTCTGCCAGTTCTTGCCCAAAATTACTTGAAGCTCATACAACTTGCCAGCCTCCAAGTCACCCACCACCTTCAAACCTCCCCATCCATTGCACTTTGTCTTGAGTTTAGCAGTGCTTTTCTCCTCCAAGGTCATCACTCATGGCAGAAGTATAGGGTACATAAGTCACCCCTGGGGACAGAGCAGTAGAGCTGGGATTAGAGTGGAGTAACGGAGTCTGGGGCTGGCAGATCTGTTTGCCAACTTTAATTTGGAAAGAATGGAAAAGACAGCAGTCATCTAGACATTGTACAGGTTTGGAGACAGACTGCTTAGAGCAACTAGATACCCTGCATAGCATAATCGTTAGCTTCTCCCAAGTCTAGGGAGGAATCTGAGAGTGCTGTGTCAGCTGCTACAGGCCTAGTAAAAGGGAGCTCTGGAGACAGGGGTTCTAAGCCTCTTCCCAACTGCTGCAGAGATCTGCCTGCTGACTCGGGGCCGACGAACAGCCAGTGTAAGAGCTGACACCTACTGCCGCCTCTACTCACTCAGCGTGGACCACTTCAATGCAGTGCTTGAAGAATTCCCCATGATGCGCAGGGCCTTTGAGACTGTGGCCATGGACAGGCTGCGCCGCATTGGTGAGCCTTATCCATCCTGTCTGCCCTGCGTCCTGGCTGTTCCGCATCCCATCTCCATAGCAAAGAACCTTGGCCCTAGTCCTCTGGTGTTACATCCCAACCCACCTATTCTGCTAGTAAGCCTTTTAACACTGTTGCTAATTCTTCTTACCCCTCAGCAAGCCATAGCACCCCAAGCCCTCGTGGGCTGAGTCCTCCTGAGTACCAGACATTAAAATCTCACCATTTCTGACTCATACCCTCTTCCTCCCACTCCATTCTCCAGTTTCTTTCCCCAGGTGCCCTCTCCATAGTTCTGACTCCCATCCCCTATCCTCAACTCCATCCAGTTTCCCTCACACTGATTATCCAGCCTTCATCTTGGATTCGTTCCCTTTCCTAACTCCTTGGTTCTGGGACAACTTCTAGGCAAAAAGAATTCCATACTGCAGCGGAAGCGCTCAGAGCCAAGTCCAGGCAGCAGCGGCGGCACCATGGAGCAGCATTTGGTACAACACGACAGGGACATGGCTCGGGGCATTCGGGGCCTGGCCCCTGGCACAGGTGCTCGGCTCAGTGGAAAGCCAGTACTGTGGGAACCGCTAGTGCACGCGCCTCTGCAGGCAGCTGCTGTGACCTCCAACGTGGCCATTGCCCTGACTCACCAGCGAGGCCCTCTGCCCCTCTCCCCTGACTCTCCAGCCACCCTCCTTGCTCATTCTGCTAGACGATCGGCAGGCTCCCTAGCCTCCCCACTGGTGCCTGTCCGAACTGGTCCTCTGCTGGCCCGGGGACCCTGGGCATCCACTTCCCGCCTGCCTGCCCCACCTGCTCGAACCCTCCACGCCAGCCTATCCCGGGCAGGACGTTCCCAAGTGTCCCTGCTGGGCCCTCCCCCGGGAGGAGGTGGTCGGAGGCTAGGACCCCGTGGCCGCCCACTCTCAGCCTCTCAACCCTCTTTGCCTCAGAGAGCAACGGGTGATGGCTCTCCTGGTCGCAAGGGCTCGGGAAGTGAGCGCCTGCCTCCATCAGGGCTCTTGGCCAAGCCTCCAGGGACAGCACAACCCCCCAGGCCATCAGTGCCTGAGCCAGCCACCCCCCAAGGTCCCCAGATCTCTGCTAACATGTGAAATCCTACCTAGGTTATACTAGCCTTAGCCCTTGGTGTGCATTAGTGTGTGCCTGAGGGCAAAAGCCCCTTGGGGAAGGCTGGGGGCCACCTAAAATACTGCCCCTTACTACCATGAAGCTGTTCTCTGTGTCCTTAGCTCAAGCAGCAGTTGCCTGCTAACCCTAATCCATCTACTCATTCATCATAGGTGCCCAGTGCCTAACATGTTCAAAGCACTGTGCCAGGTACTGTATGTCTCCACTGCCAAGTAGAAGTGACTCAAAGCCCTCTAACAAGGGTATCCCTTGCCTTGGTCCTGACAGGTGCAGGTCTGGGCCCATGACCCACCTTTGCTAAGCACAAATCCTTGCCACCACCATCACTGCCAGGTAACTAGGTAGCTGTTTACTTGTCAGTGACCCTGCAGGTTTTGCCCAGTATGTTTTCCTGTCCCCTTACTATAGCTGGGCCCCTATTACTGCCAACATATGTCTTGGGTCCTGAGTGTGGGTATTTACCTTGTTACCACCACCTGCAGGGCCTCCTTGTCTATACCAAGTGAGAACACACATCTGCCCACTGTAGTGTCTGTGTGGTAGCTCTGTCTTTGTTAACTGGAAGTTGCCTCTTCACTGTACCCTCTGCTCCAGTGGTGTTGCCCTTAAAGCTAAGAGATACTTGACTCCTCTTTATTTACTATGCCAGCTACTCCTCTCAGGTGGCTTGCAAGTAACTGAATCCTCATATGACCTTTTGTCTTTCCCTCTTTGTCTTATTTATTCAGTCATTTATTAATTTTTTCATTTGCTAACTTGGCTTACTCATTTTGTTTACACATTCCTTTATCTGTCTATCCCACCTTCTTGTAGGGGGGGCGGTTAGAAGAACAAGGAGAGATCATCTCTGTGGTCTTTGTATAAGGCCATCAGCAGCAATATTCACTCTCTCCCTGTCCAGGTAGTGGCAAGAGGGGCTGACAGAGAGGAGGACCACACTTGCTTTGTTTCCTTTTCTCATCTGGGTTTGCTATTGGTATAGGAGTAAGGAGTATTCAAGCCTAGGGAAGGGCAGGCCAGCCAGCCCCTCTGCTTCCTCAGGGACAAGAGTAATCCCCTAGCTACCCGCTCCTACACTGTAGCATCGAAGTATGGGGCCAGGACCATGAATCTCCTTTTCTTCCAGGTGGGGAATTCTGGGATTCTTGGTGTGTGGGAGTTGTTTTTATAATTGCTCCTAAACAGTTGGGTTTAAAAAGAAAACAGAGACATTCATGTTTGCTTCTGGTTTCTGTGTGGGAATAAAGTGGATCTGAAGAAATTTCTGCATACAGAAGGGGCATCTGACCCAGCAGGGCAGGTGGTGGGCATGAGACTGGCCAGATTAGTGGTCTCTAAGCACAATTCCAAGGGGGTAAAGTCAGTAACAAGAAAAGGCTGCTGAAGTCAGGGGTGGTGATTCAAGCCTGTAATCCCTACCCTTGGGAGACTCGGGTAGGAGGATCTCCATGAGTCTGAGGCCAGTCTGAGCTACATACTGAGACATCATCTAAAAAAAAAAAATCGTTGGGCGTGCTGGCACACGCCTTTAGTCCCAGTACTTGGCAGGCAGAGCAGGTGGATCTCTGTGAGTTCAAGGCCAGCCTGGTCTACAGGGAAACCCTGTCTCAATGACAACAACAAAAAAATCAACCTAGATTAGTTCTCTTCAACATCCATCTGCTAGCTTCCTCCAAAGTATAGCACTTTGATGTCACTGTCAGAGTCACTGTGAAGAATGACTATGAACCTGACTTAAGGCCATCTGGAAATTATCATAAGTGTCACATCACAGAAAGTCAGATGTATGAAGCATTTCAAAATAATGGTTCTAACCAGGTGTGGTGGGGCATACCTTTAATCCTAGCACTCAGGAGGCAGAGGCAGGAAGGTGAGATCAAGACCAGCTGAGGCTACAGGAAGACCCTGTCTCAAATACTACTAATAATAATAATAATGGTTCTGTGGAGACTGGACAAGATTTCCCTATTTTCCCTCCCCAACTCCAGTGCTAGGGAGTCTGGAGGAATGGAATTAATTAGCCAGGCTGGGATTAAAGACTTAGCTTATTTTAGGATCCAACTGATCAGACTGGAGACAGGAATATACAGTTGATGCTGCTGGGTAACTGGTACATAATTGGACAGAGACCTTTGCAAAGCAGAGAGGGTGAGGGACATCTGGAATGGGGCTAGATGGCAGATGTAGGACCACGGTAGGGGTGTGGATTGGAAGGGATGGGGTGCAGCTAGGTCAGAAGGGGGAGGGGCCTCTTAAGATATGCTCAGCACCCGCATGATGTTGGTATAGCCAGAACCAGGTCGCCAGCCTGTCACCACAATTACCAAATCCCCAACATGAAGGAAGCCACGGAGTTTTCCTAGGGGAGAAAAAGGTAACAGTCATTGAGGAACCTACATCAGCCATCACCATCTACCACCTCAAAGCTACTCTGTAAGGGAGAAGGAGCCTGAACTGATGGCATGGAAGGAATGTGTCCATAGCAGGGTGTGGAGAAGGATGGGAGGTATTGTTGCTAAGCATCAATCTGTGCACTTGGGTGGCTGCACTGATGGGAGAACTCTAAATTAAATTTTAGTTCCAGTTCTCTGGCTTGCTCCTCCGACCCCTGTGTCCTAGTGGGCTGTAGCACAGACAGCAGTGGTGACTTCTTAGGGATGCCCCTGCCCTCCCTTCCTCTCCCTCAGTTTAACCTCCCCTGCTTAGAGTCCAAGATAGTTCTCTATCTTAGTGATTCCTAGGGAAAATCTGGGACCACTGAAGCCAGGCAAGGAGGAGCCTGGTGGGGGTCAAAGCCAGGTTGGGGGTCTCAATAAAAGAAACCCAGGAGGGACAAGGCTTCTGAGGCTCACCACTTTCAATGCCAAACTGTACCCTGCGATCCACATCATCTGCCCAGATGGCCTCTGGAGGTTCATGGTAGAGCAAAGGGAAGACGCCTCGGCACAGATGGACCTGTCGGGCAGCCTGGGCAGAGCGGGTCACAGCAATGACTGCTGCCCGAGGTCGGTATCGAGACAGAAGCTGAGCTGAGCTGGAGGAGGGAGAGGTGGTTAGCTCAGAGTGTCAAAAGTGTGCAGAGTCAGGAAACAGAGTTTGAGTTCTAGTTCCAGGCTTCAACAAACCTCACATCCCTGGATAAGTTATACTTCTCTAGGCTTTGGTTTTCTCACTTGTAAAATGAGTTCCTGCCTTGGGGCTGGAGAGATGGCTCAGCGGTTAAGAGCTCTTGCAGAGGACCTGGGTTCAGTTCCCAGCACCCATATGGCAGCTAACAACTGTCTGTAACTACAGTTCCAGGGGATCTGATGCCCTCTTCTGGCCTCTGAAGGTACTGCATGCACATGGTGCACTTACATATAGGCAAAATACTCATACACATAAAAAAAAAGTTTAAAAGAGTACCTTCCCTTCTTGCTCTGCTATACAAGGAAGACAGGATCTAATAAGCACATACCAAATGAGATAATAAAGAGAAATAGCTTTAAGAATTGTAAAACCTGGGCATGGGGTGGGGGTGGAGAGGTGGCTCAGGTCACAGTTAAGAGTACTACTGGCTGCTCTTGCAGAGGATCCCGGTTCAGTTCCCAGCACCCACAACAATCCTTAACTACAGTTTCAAGGGATATCCAATGTCCTCTTCTTGCCTCCACAGGGGCATTGCATGCATGTGGTGCACATACATACATGCAGGCCTAACAATCATATACATAGAAATAAATTTGTAAAGCCAGCCATAGTGACACATGCCTATAATCCCAGCTTTTGGGAGGTAGAGTCTGAAGGATAAATTCAAGGTTAGCCTCAGCTATCTAGTAAGTTTTATGCCAGCCTGGACTACTCATGACCTTATCTCAACAACAACAACAACAAAAAACCCCCAACTAAACCAAAAAAGTAAACTCTCTGGAAAGTGTGTGTTTATATCACACTCATTCCCCATATGGCACTTAATGTCTCTTACTTATCCTCACAATACTGTGGGGAACAAATGGCAAACTCACATAGACCCTAAAAGAGAGGCCAGCAGGACCTAGGTGAGTCACGCACTCAGGGTCTCACTGCTCAGTTTGAGAGCAAATTCTGGAACTCGGCTTAATGGGTTCTGCAACACCAGCATTATAAGGCGGTTTTACCCCAACACCCTGAAGCTTAGGGATTATCCACTACCTGGAACTCACAGCCACAAGTCCTGGAGCACCCAAAATCTGCCTCTAGCTTTCTTAGCTTGCCCTGAAGCAATGCTCTTCATCACTGACCATCCTGCTTATCCCTGACCAAAGTTCTTCTCCCAGTGTCCTCACCGGCCAGTGGTGGTTAGCACAATGATGGCAGCAGCACAGCACTTGAAGGCAGCCTCCACAGCTCCAATGGCAGTGACCTCAGTGGGGTCCCGGCTCAGTGGCGCTACCCGGCGCAGTTCCTCAAACAGCTGGCGGTGGTACACTGCGGCTTCTGCTTCCCGTGCAATCTGCAGGCACCAAGAGGTCAGGGTGGGTAGAGGCAATTGGGTCCACAGGGGTGTGAGTCCAGTTGCTTTTGGTTTCTGAGCTCCTACCGCATGCTGCATTTTTACAGCCTCCACAGGGAAGCAGCCTTTGGCAGTCTCCCCCGACAGCATGATGCAGTCAGCCCCATCAAGCACAGCATTGGCCACATCGCTTGTTTCTGCCCGGGTTGGCCGGGCCTTTGTGATCATACTCTCCAGCATCTGGGGGCCAACACTGTGGATGTCAGAGCTGTAGTCACTTTGATTGGGGGCCCTGTCTGTGATGCTTCTCTGATACCCACATTCTTGGCATCCCCAAACCAGAATCATACCCTGGAAGATGTTTCCTCATTGAAAATAAGGTCTCTACCTAACTTCACTGTTTGAGAATCAGACAGCAAAGTGTGCTGTGACCTAAGGTGTGAGCACTCCCTCAGTGTCTGTCCTTAAACCCCAGCCCCAACGTTTCACTCCAGACCTGTGTGGCGCAGACAACAGGCTTGCCTGCCAGGTTGCAGCGCCCAATCATCATCTTCTGAGCCAGGAAAACCTTCTCAGATGGGATCTCGATGCCCAGGTCACCCCGTGCCACCATGATGCCATCGCTCACTTCTAGGATTTCATCAAACCTGGGTGGTTGGAGGGATCTAGGCTAGGGTAGAGCCAGGAGATGCCAGCAGGAAGTGACAGGCAGAAGGGCAACGGGGACTGTTTAGAGGGCTGATGGGAACCAAGGCCAAGCCTCACCTCTTCACACCTTCATGGTTCTCGATTTTGCTGATAATTTTGATGCTCTGTCCTTCCGGCCCCAGGGCAGCCCGGACTGCAGCCACATCACTGGCTTTCCGCACAAAGGAGGCAAAGACGATGTCCACACCATGCTCCACTCCGAAGCGCAGGTCCAAGACATCTTGCTCAGACAGCCCAGGCAGGTCCACCTCAGCGCCTGGCAAGTTCACTCCCTTCCTGCTGCCCAGGACACCTCCATTCTCCACTTCTGTCACCAGCCCCTCTGGGCCTGCCGGCATGGAGAGAGCCAGTTTCGGTCACGGCTGATGCCACGAGAGTGTAGTCACGGCAACTTCAGGCTTGGACCCTCAAGAAATCAGGAACTTCTGCTACACACACACCCAGCCCTCCCGCCGCACCCCTCCCGCCCCTCGTGGCCTCCCGCTCATCCAGAGGAATTTCTCTACAAAAACCGGTAACCGGCAAGCCCAGCTCTGACCCATGGTGATTCTGATGCTGGGGGCCTCTGGGACAGGCAAGGAAGCACGAGTGGCCAGAGGAAGGTGAGAGTAGTCTAAGGGCCAAGCCAAAGGGAAGAGCATGTGCCTAGTGTTGGCGCGCGGTCAGAGCAGGAGGCGCATCCGCACCGATTTTCCGGACCACCAGGGAGATGAGCCCGTCGTCAATGTAGATGTGGCCCCCGACTGCAACGACCCGGATGATATTGGAGTAGTCCACCCACACGGTGTGCGCGTCCCCCCGGGTCCGGAACTCCGGGTCCACAGTCACCAGCACCTGGGAGCCCTTCACAATCTCCACTTCGGACTCGGGGCCCTGGGGCAGAGCCAGAGAAGCGTGAGTTTCAGGGCTTCCTGGCACTCCCGGCCCCAGTCAGCGCGCGCCCAGCCTGGCTTCTCACCCCCTGTAGGATCCCAGTGCGTATCTCTGGTCCCTTGGTGTCCAGAGCTATGGCCACAGGCCGGTAGCTTAGTGGCGAAGTTGCAAAGCTCTCAGCTGCCTCCCGGATGTTGGCGATAGACTGTGCGTGGTACTAGGGTGAGAGAAGAATAGAGATATCAGCGGGAAGTGGGCAGAACCTGGGGCATTCTCCAGCCCGCCCTCCGCCACCTCTCCACACCTCATGGGAACCATGAGAGAAGTTGAGTCGTGCAATATTCATCCCGGCCTTGATCATCTCCCTGAGGCGTTCCACCGAGCGTGATGCCGGCCCTGGAACCAGAGATCTTACTCAGAAGGTTTTTCTCCAAGTTTAAGAGGCACCCAAACCCATCTGCACCACACCCCAAAAGTCCTTCATTTTCTGAAGTTCTCCTGCTCACAGGCCACAAACTCCCTTTCCCTCTGCAACCAACAACCCCGCCCCCCACTTGGGAAGGCAGCACTGTGGGAATCTTTAAGGAGGATGATCTCAACCAGGCCTGAGGCACCTTTGTTGGCAAGTGACTTGACATAAGTACTGCACTGTGGGGGTTACTCCAGGATATGAGGGGTCAGAGCAGGGGTGGGTACCAAGCGAGAGCGTTGAAGGTAAGTAGAAGATTTTAAAGCTGAGTGGTGGGCCTGGTGAGATGGCTCAGCGGTTAAGAGCACTTGCTGCTGGACCTGGGTTCAGTCCAGCACCCATATGGCAGCTAACAACTGTCTGTAACTCCAGTTCCAGGGGATCCAAAGCCTTCTT